GCCCCGCCTTCATTTTTCAGGTCTTGCATACTTGACGGAGTGGTGGAAACGCCAAACATTACCGGGAAAACAGAAGGGTGTTGTACAACCGCCCTTTCAGAGAGATTGTTAAATCAATTAAAATCACTGATTCTCACAAGCATAAATTGGAATTAATAAGGCAAAGTCGAGTACCTAGTATTTTTCTCATATTTTGAATTATTCTCTAAAACCAGGATACGTCATTTTACCAAATTTTTGTAGATTAGTTAATCTAGCTTAAATAAAAAATAAAAAATAAAAATTTAAATCTATCTGTTCAAAGTAGAGTTAGGTTTACTAGAATTTTTACTAAATTCACAATCTGTATGGACGATACTCTATTCATCATTTTGTTACTCGATCATCATACTTTTCACTTGTATGACTTTATTATAACATTAACACCCAAAGTTTTTTATAATAGTTTTTGAAGATTTGATAAAAATTGGAAAAAAAAAAATTGTGGTTGAAAAGTAGATAAAAGTTGTAAATTACATGGAATGTATGACTAAAATTGAAATTTGATCAATTTAAAAGTTGATAGACGCTTTGCTTTCCACAACCTAACTTTTGTATTGTACACATCTTCAAGATCGAGAAGGCTTGGACATTGAAGTTTTGATATAGTTGAAAGCTTCACCTTAGGGGTAACAAGTATAAGCTTTTATTCGATTTAAAACATTGTTCTAAGTTACTTTTTTAGAGATCGAATCAGATCCAACTTTTGGCTTTTTAATGTTCAAAGAAAATAATTTCGCTTCTAGCTAAAACCCAATCGTCTAGGTTTCCTTTTCCTCAACAACCATGAAATGATGTTTCTCTTCTTCTCACCTATGTCTTCGATGTCCAATCGACTTGTCTTCTTAGCCATTATGTGCAATTTTAGTGCTTAGTTGAGTTTTAGTGTTAGGAGGAAAAATAACTAGGGGTGTGTGGAGTGTCTCCAAAGAGGTCATTTTATCATTCAAATTGTCATGCTCCACTTTCGGCCCACCCCTATAGGCTGGTACCATTGCCTTAACATTTTGACGAAGGAATAAAGAAAGCAACCCCTTGATATTTTGGTGCAAAGTTTCGGAGTCATATGAGATAGTTATCTCTTCATGAGGTATGGTATCAAGGGGCTATTTGACATTTACAAAGTCGTATTCCACGGCAAAATTACTTTGCCGTGGGGAGAATTACTCCACAATCGACTAGGCCTCTCTCGATTCTCTGAGAATTCTATAACAACTTGTCCCTCTTCTGCTTAATATGTCTTTCCTTTATAATACATCGACCTTACTTAACTGTCCACTAGAGCTTTTAACCAATCTCCAAATATATGTCGTTCTAAATTGCTGCATGCCTTCAATGCATTAATGAATAAAAATTGGATAGCTTAAGATTTAGTGCTAAAAATATTGGCTAATTTAGATCCATTTCCAACTTATGTAAAATAAGTTCCCTAACAAGAGTCGTCATAATCACAATCAACCCCTAATAACTTTCCTATATGATTTTAGCAAATTCTTCTATATAATCTCTCATGTTACCATTTCTAATTAAAAGAAGTATGAACTTTGTTACCATCTACTATTAATTATAAAAAAATTTAAAAAAAATAATAAAAAAGATAAACTTAATCAATAAGTTTACGTCTATTTTGCTTTTGACTTTTCTTAATGCCTTCACTCAAGCTATAAAAAATGGACAAAGAGAGAGATACGTGGTCGAAGTTCACGTGATCAAATGCTAGATCTTGATTTAAATTTGACACACCATCACCTAGAAACATCCTCTTGAATTTTCCGCCACGAGGAATTTTTTATTTTTGACAACATAATTTAACAAAAATTTTGTTAGTCAAAACCTGTTATATAAATTAAGCACCTATTTGGTCAGAATTAAAATCAATTTTTTAACAAATTTTGATAAAAGTTGAGGTAATATATTGTCGAAATGTTGTGGATTTATAGGATATATAATTAAAATTAATTATTGACTCTGAATTAAGTCCCTGTTTGACAATCGTTATTTTGAGGAAATAGAGTTTTGAATGGTAATTTTTAAAAGAATGTAAGCTTAAAAAGTAGAGAAAAATTTTAAGTTTATGTGTAAAATATTTTATTGTGTAAATGTACGGTTCAAAATAAATATGTAGAAAAAAATTTGAAAATAATAATTGTCAAACAGGGAATAAATTAAAATTAGAAATAAATTTTTTTATTCCAATAGGCTAATAACATAATTATACTGTTCACGACGCCTACAACTTGGACAATGAATCGTACGGGGTGCTCGCACCTACTAATTACTATTCATAATTAAAAATATGGGATTAATTTTACTTTTGGTTATCAAACTTTCAGTAAAATTTTAATTGAGTCCTTCAACTTTAATTTATCTCATTTTAATTCTAGTCAAACCGTTATATTTCTTACTAAAATTAAGATTTCATTCTTACGAAAACGTTAAAAATTGACAGCGATGGACAATATGATATATCTTGGTTTCGAATTAAATAAGCCACCTCGAAACATTCATGTTGGACAATGTTTTGTGTACACAATAATGTACACATAGCATTACACCCCCTCACATGAAGGGGAACCCACATATAATAAAATATTCATGAACCTCCTTTCATGTAAAGGGGGTCTAATCCATTGTGTAGATCATAATGTGTACACATAGCATTATCGATGATTACCATTTCTAATTAAAAGATATAAGAACTTTGTTACCATCTACTAGTAATTTAAAAAATTCTTAATCAAGAAGTTAACATCGATTTTGATTTTGATTTTGATTTT